AAGACCTTCTAGAAATCTGGTATTAGAGGGAATACATCTGCCTTCCTTTGGCGCTTTGGGCTCCCCCTGCTCTGAAACATCCTGAGTGCCTAGGACATATCTGAGACACTATGTACCTCTCCCTAACCATCCCCGGGCTGCTTTCATCCTCATGCAAAGATAACATGGAAGTGAGGATTTTCAGTGTGGTTTCTTCACAGCCTGGGAAAGGCTGGAAGCTGTGTCCAGCAGGCTGGCCTGGAAGAAAGGTCTCAAATCCCAGAGCTCAGCTGGAGCAGGCACCATTGTATTGCATAGCGCTATGCACTTCCAGTTGGCTCAAGAAATAATACAGTGCTGCAACTCAGAGTCCTCTAACATGCCTTTGCATCTTCTCTGTTACCTCTTTGAGAAGTATTTGTATTTGTGCATCTACAGTTTTACTGATGCAGAACAGTGACAGAGCAGCCAGGGGAATTGAGACAAGGGTGGAAAATAACTGCAGGCATGCATTAAAATACTTAGCTTGTCCAGCTGAAAGAGATTTTTGCCAAACGATTTTATAAGGAATGAGGCATTTTACAGGAAAAGCAGGGCCTCTCCTCTCATTTCCTTTCCCCTCTCTTCTATGAACTTCAAAGGAAAGAGGGGTCAAAACAGAGGCCAGGCAACTGGAACTGAATTCCTGAGCCCTAAGGCCTAATTAGTCCAAGATACTTTTCACTGGGTGTGTTTCGGAGACTGGCTAAATCGCCAATCTTCCCTGCTGTGGTGCTGAGGGTCAGATGAAGCCAGAGTGTGGTCCACAATTTGCAGGGCCCCAGCATTACTAGAGCTCTTGGGGGAAGGGCAGATTGTCTCAATTCAAGCCCCACTGACACAAGGCTCTCCCAGCCCCCTCCAGGCTTTCTGGGGCCACACCTAAAATACCCTCTTCAGTACAGAGAATATCTCCATGACTAAACCCGTCCTCTCTCCAATGTTCCTACCTCCCTGGTGCTTGCCCCAGAGCTGCTGGTGACTGCAGCTAACAGTCCCAGAGCTAGGTGGCCGTTGCCCCTCCTAGGATCAGCTGAGGCTATCAAAGAGCCTTCAGCCATTTGGAATTACCCTTCCAGCAATTATAGGCTGATGTAAAACCTCCCTCTTGCCTCACCTCATCCAGGCAAGCCGAGCCCAGCTCCTGCCAGCAGACCATGTGCTCCACGCCCTTTCCTGTCTTGCAGCTGTTTGCTGGTCCCTCTCCAGCTTCTCCACATCTTTCCCTACTGGATACCCAGAAAAAGGGATAACAATCTCCTTTTATCTGTGTCTTCTCACGTGGCCCAGCATGTGGTCTGCCTTACTAGCAATGACAAATAAAACTTGGTTTTGCACACAGGTTTAACAAGTCTCTGGAATGACACATCAATCTCAATTCACAGGTCTCTCCCTTTAAGACACACTGGTCTTAGGGTGGGGATTTTCCTGAGGGATTCACAAAAAGTATTCTCAAGAACTGAGAAACAAAAACCAGGCAGGCTGTTTCCCCTGAACAGCCTCTCTCAAGAGGCTGTCCTCATAGGGGTGCATCTTATTTTGGACTGCAGTAAATGCAAATACTTTGACGGAAGGACTCATTTCCGGCCTTGTGGCCTGAAAGCCCGATGGAAAAGGACATCATTGTCACTGTGAGTTTATGTGGCCTCCTAGTGCCACAGCACAACTCTAGAGCATAGGAAACAAGCCTGGCAGCTTGTGAGGCAGCAGACAGCTGCACGTGAAGTCAGATGCCTGAGTGGTGGGGAATGTGATGTCCTCATGGATGTGGAGTGGGCTGTGATTCTGCACCCCATCCATTTCATGGATCCTGCTCCTCAGCCAGTGCAGACGTGGTTGGCATAAGGCACACCTCACTCCTGGCTGGGTGCCCAAGCTGCTCCCCCAGAGAAGCAAGAGAGCAGGATGCATGAAGTAGGGAAAAGGAGGAAAAACGGACTCCTTTTGAATCAGGAGAAATTTTAAAAAATATTATATTTCCTGCCAGAAAGAAAGGTAAACATCTTGCCTTAAAAATTTTTATTCCAAGGTGCTTGCTCATGAGAGGAATGTTGAATTTGTCTTTACAAATGAGTTGTGGATCAGCCTGTAGATAAGGCTAGCACTGAGAGATAAAAGAAACAATGGGATGGATTCCACTGATTGATGAATGGAAAGAGATATTTGCCTTTACAAACAAACTGTAGGGCTGCTGATAAATGAAATTGGATATCAAAAGATGAAAGAAGCAACGGGGGGGAAACTATGAATTCTATAAGAATTAAAAATTAAAAGGGAGGGTTATACATTAGAGGGGAATTTCAGGTATCAGGCGTTCCGGGAAGTCTGTGCCTCTCAAGTACCTAAGCCGATGGGGAAAGAGAGAGGGAAATGCGGCCGGGAAAATAGGATAAAAAGGAGGCTGCGTCCTCCAAAAATTTGAGAGATCCCAGGGGAATGTCCCATGGCCTCTCCCTTTATTCGAATAAAGCAAAAAGGACTCCTCTGTCTCCTTTTTGGACATAAACCTCTGGTGTTTTTGGATTAATTTTCCTGACACTCACCTTCCATTTAAATAATGGTACTGGGACCAATGAGGACTGGGGTCAGCTCCAGAGTACTGCAGATAACTGTGCAGCCTAACTGCATCAAGACTGTTTATTTCCCTTTGCATCCACTTCCCAATGGAGCCAAAACATAAAACAGAAACCTCTCTTTCCTTTATGTAATGCTTTGCCAGAGCTGGCACCCTGTGAGTGTTGGCTGGAAGGATCTCTGGAGGTCTCCAGACACTGGACGCCTGCCAGCACCAGATCAGATTGGCTGTAGCTGTGTCTAGCCACAAAGTATAAGTCTGATTCTTGTGTGCTTGCAGAGCACTTGGAGCACTGGGACCCTTTTCTCAGATGGAGTTCATGGAGAGCACAGGAAGGTTTATCTGAGGTGCCCACCTCCCCCTGCATCTTTCAGGAAAGAAGGGTCAGAAGGGCTAGGTAAACCAGCATACGTTCAGTCTGCCAGCAGGTTCCTGTGCTGAATTCACCTCTCAGAAAAATGCTATCCGGAGGACTGGCACAGATCAGGACCAGGTAGCCTCCCTGTTGGGTTTTTCCTGCTAGAGGCCATTTACACTGGATGGAGAACAGCAAAAGAGAACCAGTTGAATTTACTGAGGAACTGAGCCAGATTCCTATGTGCTGCCAGCACAAAAATAGGTGCCATCTTTAGATTTTATGGCTTTTCTTTGTTTGAGTCTGGATCAGACTTGTTTTCAAAACAACCTCCAAACAATATAAATATACCTCTCATTGAATACCTCTCATTGAAAACAAACAGGCCTGGAACAATTAAACAATACTTCCCTGAAGTAATCCCTGCACCTCTGTAAAAGCAGTTAAATTAGTTGGGATCACAGAGAGGAAACAACAGAATGCAAAATGTTAGCCTTGTACCTTGCTCACTGTTTTTTTTCAACTTCATGCTATTGGATTACTTCCTTAAGTACTCTGGGAACAGAGACAGAAAAGAACAGCTTTCCTTGGCAAAGGGAGGAGGTTTCTCATACATGGCTGTATTTTCCATGGCTCATTTAGCAAAATGCACACACCTGAAAAAACAGCAAGAAGTCCATCCAAGGCGGGCTGATACCATGGATTCCGCATCCCCATTTACTGGCACTGGTATCATCTAGGTGGTATCACTGGATCACTGTGTGCAGGTGGGAAGTGCTGCATGCTAGAAAGCCATGAGCAGCATGATCTTGGTGCTGCCCAGGGAACAAGGAACCTCTCTTCCTGACAAAGAAGCTCATGCACAGCCAGGAGGGTCACAGTGAGTTTTACTCATCTTGTAGCACTAAACAGCACTACAAGACTTTTGGCCTCAGTCAGAGTCCATGCAGGACAGATGGACTGCCAGAGCCACCCTAAGTGTGTTTCAAGGCGAGTTGTCTTCTCATGCTCATCCAAGCACCACTGAAGGGCTCTGCCCAGTGGAGCATACTCATACTGCTTTGTGCACTGTCATACTTTCATACATGACCATGCTCTTGAGATGCAGAGCTCACAACAGCTTTTTAAGGCTTGTAAACTGCAAGCAACACCCTGGACTTCCACCGGCAAACCTGCATGTGCAAAGAAACAGGTGGCCAAGGAGCTGTCGCGTGTCTTTGGCAGAATACCTGATCTGCAGCCCACCATGCCTGTGTCACCACACACCAGACCACAGCACTAAGAACCATGTCCAGTCTTTCCCTGAACACCTCCAGGGACAGTGACTTCACCACCTACTTTGGGCAGTCCACTCCAATGCCTAAACATCCTTGTAAAGAAATTCTTCCTGATGTCTGACCTGAACAATCCCTGGTGAAGCTTAAGGCACTGTGTCCTCTTGTCTTGTCTCTAGCTACCTGAGAGAAGAGGCCGACCCCACCTGGCTCCACGCTCCTCTTGGGGAGTTAAAGAGGTTGATAAGGTCACCCCTGAGCCTCTTTTTCTCCAGCCTAACCAACTCCAGCTCCCTCAGCCACTCCTCCTAGGGCTTGTGCTCCACACCCTTCAGAAGCTCTCCGGCATCCCAATGTCCTTCCTGCACTGAGAGGCCCAGAACTGGCCACAGCACTCGAGGTGTGGCGTCCCTAGTGCCGAGTACAGGGGGGACAATCAGCCCTGACCCTGCCGTGACGCTATGGCTGATACAGACCAGGATACCATCGGCCTTCTTGATCACCGGGGCACACCAGCGGATCCCGCAGGCCGGCTGGAGCAGTGCCCTCCGGGAAGCCGGCGGGAACACCGGCGCCGCAGCCGGGCCGCTCCCGCGGGGCCCTGCGCTGCCGCCGCTCCGCCGGCGGGGGGCGCGCGAGCTCCGCCGCCGTTGGGCGGGGCGGTCCCTGCAGGGTGACGTCACCCGCGCCAGGCACGGGGCGGGGCCGGGCGCGCGCGTTTATATTTCCGGGGATGAGGATAGGAAGCGGAAGTTGCGGCTGAAGTCGTAGCGGAAGGCCTGGTGACGAGGCGACACCGACGCCACTACCACTGCTAGCGGCGGCTTCAGCACCAGCGGCGGCTCAAGATGTCGATCGAAATCGAGTCCTCCGAGTACGTATAGCGGTGGCGTGGGGTGGCGGTGAAGGACTAGGCCGTCGCGGCGGCTGGGGGAGCGGGGAGGGAGCGGTCTCGCGGCCCCGGCGCTGACCCGGACCCGGGCCCTAGCGGCACAGGGGAAGGGAGGCCAGACCCGGCGGTGTCGGCGGCCCTGGGGCCGTAGGGGGCCGAGAGTTGCGAACGGTGCTCGCCGCGGCCGGGGAGGGCGGCCCATGTGTCCAGTGCCCCGGGTGACCGTGCGCTGTGCCTCCCCGCAGCGTGATCCGACTCATCATGCAATACCTGAAGGAAAACAGCCTCCACCGGGCGCTCGCCACCCTTCAGGAGGAGACCACCGTGTCTCTCAACACCGTGGACAGCATTGAGAGCTTCGTGGCAGATATCAACAGTGGGCACTGGGACACGGTGCTGCAAGCCATACAGTCTCTGAAGCTGCCCGACAAGACCCTCATTGATCTCTATGAGCAGGTGAGTAAGTGTGGGGTTCTTACGGACTCTTCTGGTCCCTGTGGAAGCCTCCGTGGGGTGTTTTCCACGAACTCTTTGCTGATGCAGACATTTGTCTCTGGGTGCAGGTTGTGCTGGAGTTGATCGAGCTCCGAGAGCTGGGTGCTGCCAGGTCTCTGCTGAGACAAACGGATCCCATGATCATGCTGAAACAAACTCAGCCAGAGCGCTACATCCACCTCGAAAACCTTCTGGCCAGATCTTACTTTGATCCTCGTGAGGTATATTATGCCTTTCTTTAGAGACTTCTCCTGCGTGACCCTCAGCATCGCTGCCAGTTGCTAGTGGCTCATGGGGCTGATTTTTTTCTTGTTTTGGGGAGTGGGAATGTGCAGTTTCATAGTTTGATGTTTTTACACCTTCTGTGAAGTGTCTGGGAAGTAGTGCATGATACCTTATTATGAGGCAGCAGAGCAGTGGTTTTGAAGTATGCTGCCTTGGGAGTTTGGGGATTTGGCCGCGTGTCCTGCCGCTGGATGACATCTGCAGCTTGCTTTTTCAAGTAAGCAGCAGAAGAAAACGCAAGTTGTGTGAACAGAAATAGTGCTATGTAATAACAGTAAAAACAATGCATTATTTCTGACTGCTTATATCAGTCTGAAAGTCTTTGTGAGAGTATGTTAGGTTAATAGTTAACTTAGTTAAGGGATTGATTCTAGAGGTATTTTCCAACCCTGATGATTTTTTGCTTTTAAGATTCTGTTAAAGAGAAGAGGTCTTCTGGAGGCCTAACAGAAAATTTATATGGAAGGGGTTTCAATTTTAGAACAACTTTTTTGGGGGGGGCGAAATTAGTACAATAACCTAATAAAAATAACTTCTTTTTTTAGGCATACCCGGATGGGAGTAGCAAAGAGAAGCGGAGAGCTGCTATTGCACAAGCTTTGGCTGGAGAGGTCAGCGTGGTGCCTCCATCTCGTCTTATGGCATTGTTAGGGCAGGTGAGTCTTGAAAAATATTTTGTTAGCTGTGTCTTTAGGTTGTTGCTGAATAAAACTAGTTAGGATGTAGTTGAGTCTCTAACTATGTAAAAGTAAAGTTTAAATGTGGTATAATCTAAAAAAATTCCCTTCTGGCAAAGATTTAACAGCTGTAGAAAAAGTCATCACTCTAGCAGTAGACCTTTTCCAGTAGAATAAATGTGCAGCACAGTGTGCACTTTAAGAATAACGTTCTGTAACACACGTTTTCTAGTGTGATTTCGGCCCTTTCTGATTCTCAGAACGTTTTCCGTGCAGGCAGTGTTTCACCTGTCCTAGATCTCTGTTAACTGTAGCTAATGGTGTGCCTTTCATCTCCTCTAAAGGCATTGAAATGGCAGCAGCATCAGGGCCTGCTTCCTCCCGGTATGACAATTGACTTGTTCAGAGGCAAAGCAGCTGTGAAAGACGTGGAAGAAGAAAAGTTCCCCACGCAACTGAGCAGGCATATTAAGGTAATGTTTACTTTTGTGTTTCTACTGCATTTTCCTTCCTGTGTTTTATGTTGGAAGATAAGAAGTCTTCTGAATGCTTATTTTCTGTTGTAAGTGGTTCCCCTACCCCCCACCTGTGTTTTTTCCTCTTTATCTTATCAGAAGGTTTTTCTTAATGGGTGTCTGAGATTAGGTCTTTTAACAAGATTGGGTGCTTATGGCATTTGTGATTAAGATAAGGCGTAGAATCAATCCATTTACAGGAATTTGCATAGTCTCCTTTATTTGTATAAGGAAGTACTCATGTCCTAGACTGTTCTGCAGAAGCCACGAGCTGGAACTTATGAAGTCAATTTGTGGTGTTCAGTAACAACTTGATAAAAATGCTTTATTAGAACTTGTTTTCTTTGTCATTGCTGATCTTGTATTTTTGCTTGGGCTAGTGAAGTTTTGTTTCTGTATTTAGTTGTCGTGGCCACTTGTATTTAAAAGTTTAGAAATCAAGAGATTGGACATTAAAAAAACCAAACGTTCTCTATAAAAATTCCACTGGAGAAACAATTCCAAATGAAGCAACTTCAGAAATTCGTGAAGTTAGGAAGTCTGACTGCGATATGTGTTAGGTATTGGTATTTTTAGCAGAGAATTCACCGCAAAAACAAAACTACAAAGGTAAACAAATCAGCTGCTGCTGTGACCATTGAGTTGTAATTTTGTTGTTGTAAGTTTCATGGACATTACAAGAGAAAAAGGAGGGTTTTTTTTGTTTTACCTTTAAAAAGAATGCTACTCTATGTATTGACAGATTTTTTAATAGCTCAGTATTAAATTTGTGAATGCATATCTCTAGAAGATACTGTATTTTTACCATCAGAATGACACTGCAGTTTTGTTTTAATGAGTTGAGTCTTTAAAATTGCTTATTAAGCTTTGATTGTTATTTTTTAAACAGTTTGGACAGAAATCACATGTGGAGTGTGCTCGGTTTTCTCCAGATGGCCAGTATCTGGTTACTGGCTCAGTTGATGGCTTTATTGAAGTATGGAACTTCACTACTGGAAAAATTAGGAAGGTAAGTTACTCCTTATTTCATACAAAGTGACTATGACTTGCCAGAGCTCCTGGATTTATTCTCTGAGGTTGTTTGTTTGTTTTAATTTCTTAGGGACTGTTAACCTGAGAAGATTGTCTGTTTAGGTGATTCAGATGTCAATCTGGAATATTTATGTGGGTGTAGTTGTTTGGTTTGGCATAGATTTCTCTCTGTGGTAACTTCTTTACCTTCTTGCACTGTTGTTGTTACGTTTAAAATAGCAACAGTGATAATATTCTGTATTACAAGGCTATGAAGTCCAATTTGCAGTAAGTTATAAGAGATAACTGAAGTTAAAACTTAATACTTCTGCACTTTGCCTTAAAAGAAATTTCATCGATTTCATTGCTTTGATTGATGAATCCTCTGCTCCTGTTTAGGATCTGAAGTATCAGGCACAAGATAATTTCATGATGATGGATGACGCAGTGCTGTGCATGTGCTTCAGTCGAGATACAGAAATGCTAGCAACTGGAGCACAAGACGGAAAGATCAAGGTACAAATCTTTTTGTATGGTATGCTGGGAGAGGTGGTAACTAAAAATATTAGTTTGCACTAGCAGTAATGTTCATTCTTTATAAACTCGAAATTTAACATGGGTCAGAAACAGGTGTGTCTTGGCTCTGATGTTTAAACTCATGTGGTCTCATAACAAAGTAATCAAATATTTGCTGCTTCCTTTTCAGGTGTGGAAAATCCAGAGTGGTCAGTGTCTGAGAAGATTTGAACGAGCTCACAGTAAAGGTGTTACGTGCCTCAGTTTCTCTAAAGACAGCAGCCAAATTCTTAGTGCTTCTTTTGATCAGACAATCAGGTAAATAAGCTGAGAATGTGTGAGTACAGTCTGAGAGAAAAGAAAATGGATTTTTCTCATTGAGCAGATTCACTATAAAGTAGTGTTATATAAAAAGTAACTGTAGAGGTCTCTAACCTACTGCTTTTCAAAGCAAAGCCAACCTTAAAGTTTGGACAGCCTGTCCAGGGCCTTGTCCTGCTGAGATATAAAAATCTCTGTGTTTCAAGATCCCACTGCTTCTCTTGAGGAAAATCCTGTTGTAAAGATATTTTTGGTTGATGTTTTTTTTTTTTTTGGCGGCGGGGGCATGAGGATTTGGTGTGTTTTTTGTTTGGTTGGAGTGGTTTGGTGTCTTTTTGGTTGTGTGGGATTTTTCTGTCTCCCTTTCCTTTTGTACTTCATCTGTACACCTTTTGAAGAGTCTAACTCCATTTATTCTGTAAAGACATGCTGGTTGGTGATGTTAACCCAATAGTTATAGTTTTTTAGGTGTTAAGGTGTTAAAATGATTCAGGTGAATGTACCTTCTTTTCTCCTCTTTTCCTTCTCTTTTTTTATTCTGATGATTATTGCAGGATACGTTAGAAGTAAGAATTAATATACTCAGAAGAATACTCAAACACTGTTCTAATCTTAACAAGCAAGAGAATCCTCATCAAACCCCTTTTCCTGCAGGTCTTAGCATCTGGAATATGTTGATTATTGTTTCTGTAGTGTAGTAATTCTTATTCTGCACTTGTTTGGTTACTGACTGGAATTTGCTCACTCATTTCCTCTTATGTTATCTGATAGGATTCATGGTTTAAAATCTGGGAAAACCCTAAAGGAATTCCGTGGTCATTCTTCCTTTGTCAATGAAGCTACTTTTACCCAGGATGGCCACTATATTATCAGTGCATCCTCAGATGGTACAGTGAAGGTAAGATGGCAATTACCCTTTGTAAAGAACACCTTCATACTCTTGTTATCTTATCGCCCCTTTCCTACAATTGTTCCAGTTATTGGGGGAGGACTCGGGGTTATCTGCAGCAATGAGTCTGACTTGTGACTTTGCTGTAGATTTGTGTGAGAACTGATTAAATTTGTTACTGTGCTTACAATCCCTTGCAGAGCCTGTCTCTGCTGCGTTTATGAACTGGGGACATGAGTGCAGTGCTTACTGTCTGTTCTGCTCTATTCTAGACACTGGAATGACTCTGATACCTTTTGTCCTACAATGTGGGGATTCCTTTATCTTAGATAATTGTGTATCAGCTCTTTCTTTTCAACTATTAAACCTAAGTGGTTTTATTTTATTTTTTTTATACTAGGTTTGGAACGTGAAGACAACAGAGTGCTCCAACACCTTCAAGTCTCTTGGCAGCACTGCTGGGACAGACATTACTGTTAACAGTGTGATTCTGCTGCCTAAAAACCCAGAGCACTTTGTTGTTTGCAACAGATCGAATACAGTCGTCATCATGAATATGCAAGGACAAGTATGTGATCTTACTGGTATCCTTTCAGTTCTCTCTGTCACTTCAGGAATATAGAAAACCCAGTTAACAACCTAGCCATATCCTAGCAGGGTTAAACCTGATTTCTCTGGTTTGCTTGCATGACAAAACTGTTCTGAACTCAAGTTTACAGAACACAGAAAGCTCTTGAAGCTATGGAGAGATCTGTGTTCTGAACAGACCTAGTATACTTCGTAAATATGTTTTCCATAAACATGGTATTTACATGCTGCTGTTTAATCCTGACAGATGTTTTTTGGTGTGTGTCTTTACAGATTGTAAGAAGCTTTAGCTCTGGTAAGAGAGAAGGCGGTGACTTTGTCTGCTGTGCACTTTCACCTCGTGGTGAATGGATCTACTGTGTTGGTGAAGATTTTGTGCTGTACTGCTTCAGCACAGTGACGGGCAAGCTGGAGAGAACTCTAACTGTAAGTGTTCAGCTTGGAGCTTTTTCAGAGTTTTAAACTCAGGGATGATGTAAATGTTCATTATGAAATCCACGAGGAGGAATCTCAGACCAAGGAATCGTTCATCTCTAGCAGACATGATTGGTAACAAATGAATTTCAGGACATTCAGCCTTAGAATGTGTTTAGGTTTTTTAGAATCGTTTAATTGTAAAAATTTGGGGAGTATATACCCATCAAGAAAAGACTGAATTGGTTCAGACTTCCTTGAATGAGAACATGTCTTGACCTGGGCTCCAGCTGGTGGAGAATCTGAAAAAGCTGTCAGATTTAAATCTATCAGGTTTAAATTTGCTTCAGATTAAACTTAAAGAGGAATACCAGCTTGAATGTCTAAATTTAATGGAGAACACTTAGACGTTGTGGATTTCAATGGATATAATTCTTCACTGAACCTTTCCTTGCCCGACAAAAAGTGATTGCCATGTCATAAAAATTGTTGTGACTGGAGTTGAATTTTGGAGGGTATCTACCCCTGCTTCTGCTCTATGCACAAAGCAACTTAACCCTCAGCTCAACTTTCCTCCAGTTTTTTGAAGAGAATATTTGTCTTGAATCTGCTGAAGGAAGACTCTCCTAATGCATCTTTCTGCTTACTCTCTAGGTCCATGAAAAAGATGTCATTGGCATTGCTCATCACCCCCACCAGAATCTGATTGCTACTTACAGTGAAGATGGCCTCCTCAAGCTCTGGAAGCCATAGATTGATTTTTCAGCAAGCTCTGAAGCATTGAAGCATGCCTGTTAGTTGCAGGTTACTAGTGTTTGTGCTTTAACGAGGTCTAAATATGCAGAATGTGATACTTGCTCAATTTTCAGTTCAGGTTTCTAGAGAACTACATTTTTACCTACCTAGAGTGGACTGATGCATAGGTGTAGCATCAGTTAATTTCATATAGTTTTATTTTTACTAGAGTAGTTGAAGCAGCTTCGGTGAGTATGCTTTTTCTGCCTCCTGAAGTCTGTACTCTTCCTACAATGTTTGTAAAAGTTCAGTGAGCCAGCAGCTGTTTACGATTATGAGTGGTTGCTGACTACCTAGAATACAGTAAAATTCTTTTTTTCTTTTTTTTTCTTTGTTTTGTTTTGTTTGAGTGAAATGTGGAATGGAAAGCTGTCCCTTCCCCACTGCTGAAACAGGAATAGTTTCCTGGAATGCAGATAGGGATACAGCTTGAAGATGGGGTCATTTCGAGGCCATTGGGTTTTGCTGTATTCAATTTTCACTATAATTTTTCCAATTATGTTGGAAAGTAGTGTCACACAGCTGCCTCAGAATGAAACCATCCTTCCCCATCTGTCAGCGCTTCCTACTATAGACTGTAAACTTGCCTAATGAGGCAGTAAGATACAGTTGATTTTGTTTGGGGATTTTTGTTCTGTTTTACTTAACTTCCAGACGAAAAGGAGCTATTATTGGAGCCCTCTTCCTGTAAGTGCAAAATGTTTTCCAGCTATAGACTAGCTATGACTGAAACAGGCTCCAGGGGATCAACATTTCAAAACAAGCAAAAATTGGTTTACATAGGCTGAGTTCCTAGTGCTGTCATAATGCTTTAAATAATTATTTTTAATATTTTTTTTAAATTTTATATGCCTGTGGAGCTAGCTAAGGGTATACCTAGGTCCCACAAGATGATAAAAAGATACTTTTAGGCTCTTCAATTTGAAGCACATGATTTTTTTGTTGAGAGATTCTGACTAATGTTCAGTGTTCTTAATGTGCACAAGAATCTTCTGAAGTCTGATTGTGTCTTTTCTAGGATGCAGAAAAATTAAGTTTTTCCTGTAGTGATGAATCAAATGCATGTTGATTTGATTTTGCTACGCTGTGTTTTGTCCTCATATCTTGTAGAATGCTTTTGTACTGCAGTAATCTTCCAGACAGTAATAACTTGTCTTCAACTTAATAAATTAGTTCCACTTCAAATATTTTGTCTGTGTTTTTAGTGGTGTGGGGAGATGTAGAAAAGTTCACCTGTTACTCTCACACAGCACCTTTGCTACAAGTATAGTGTTTAATTCTCTGAGCTATGATGTCTGAATTCCCAGGTTGTTACTTCCTTAGATATACTAACAGAAGTGGGTTTTAGATAGTAAAAAGGGATTCTTTTTCCTGCCTGAAAAAACAGAAGTATCTGACAGTGGTACATCTGACATCATGGACAGTGAATAATTCTGTTAAGGGAGAAGATCTTGACCCAGTATTTTTACCACTACTTTCCTTATAGAGGAGATGCTCCCATCCCTTCTGCATCTTTGTGACCTGTTACTGGTCTCTCTCCAGTACAACTCTGTCCCTTTTGTATGCGAAGACCCAAAACCAGATATGTCCTTGCTCTTGCTGAGTAATGGGGAAGGATTGCCTCCCTCTGCTGCTGGTAACCAGAACACCATTTGCCTTCTTTCCAAAAGATGGGTCCTGTTGAGCTTGATGTCCACCAGGAGCCCCAGGTTCCTTCTTGGCTGTTTTGCAGCGAAGTGTCCCCTGCCATGTGCTGTTGCATTGGGGTGTTCCCCAAGGGGTGTTCCTCCCCAGCTTCAGGACTTTGCACTTCCTCTTGAATTTCATGAGGTTCTTGTCAGCTCATTTTTCTGGCCTCTCCAGGTACCTCTGGATGGCAAGAAACACCTGCCTCTGTTTTACCAGCTACTTCTGTCTTCAGTCCTGTCTGCAAACTTGCTGAGTCCTGAGGCAGTACTGACCCTGGGGTTCTGCCCTCCCACTGCACTTTGTTGCACTCATCACTACCCTCTGGGCCAGGCGTTCAGCCAGTTTTCAATCCACTTCACTTCCCATCTGTCCCCATACCTCAACAGCTCTGCATGGAGCTTAAGGAAGACAGTGCCTTACAGAAGTTCAGGGACACAATACACACTTCTGTCATGTACCAGGTCAAGTCGCTGTGTTGTGAAATTTATCAGGTTGGTTAAGCATGACTTTGCTTTAGTGAATCCCTCTGACAACATCTGATGGTGTTCTTGTTCTTGGTGTGCCTGCAAATGGTTTCTATGTTTAGCTGCATCATTACCTTCCCAGGGATTAAGATGAGGTTGACAGACTATTTCTATGATTCCCCTATCTTGCCCTTCTCAAAGACAGGTGTGACATTTATTTTCCACCAGTTTTTGGGCACTTTTCCCAGTCACCATGAACAATCAAAGATTGTCAAGAGGGGCCTTGCAATGAGATCTGTCAGCTCCCAGAGCACTCATGGGTGCATCCTAATAGGGCCCATGGTTCTGTGTGTGTTCAGTTTGCCTGTCTTCCTTGACCTCATCATCCTTATACCATCCTTATACCAAGGATACATCCTTCTTGCTCCAGACCTTCCCCTTGATCTCTGTAATTCTGAGAGCTTATGTTGTCACTCAGTAAGACTGAGGAATGAAGGTACCCAGCACCTCAACCTTTTCCTATTACACCTTGTAATGTGTAACCAGAAGCCTCATATAATTCTGTAATGGCCCCACATTTTGCCTGCCCTTTTCCACTTTTGTAGTTACAGAGTTGTACTTATACTTGTTATCCAGTTGAGTTTTTGCTTCCATAACTTAATCCCTGGATGCCCACACACCACATCTGTGTCCCTCCCAATATACCCAGCCTTGGTTACACCCTTCAGATGATTCCTTTTCGTGTTCTAACTTAGCCAAGAGTTCCTTGTGCATCCTTACAGACCTCCTGGCCATTTTTGCCTGGCTTGCGGCTCACTGGGATGGACTACTCTTGAACCTGGAGGAGGTGAGCCTTGAATATTAACTAGCTTTCTTGGGCGCTTCATTCCAGGGCCTTATCCCTTGGAGAGCTTCTAAGCAGATCTTTGAAGAGACTAGTCTGCTTTGCTAAAGTCCAGAACTGAGAACTGGCTTTTCATCCTAGTTCTTCCTCTGAGTGTCCCGAACTTCACCATCTCATGATCACTGTAGCTAAGGCTGCCCTCGACCTTCAAAGTCCCAATAAGCTCTTTGGTTTTGAATACAAGATCCAGCAGAGCACCTCTCCTGGTTGATTTCCCTATCAGTTAGATCAGGAAGTTCTCATTGAGGCACTCCATGAACCTCCTGGATTGATTATCATAGAATTGTTTGAGTTGGAAGGAACTGCTGGAGATCATCTAATCCACCCCCTGCCAAGGCAGGGTCACTTAGAGCAGATGGCTTTTGAATGTCTCCAGAGAGGGGGGGGGGGGGGTTTGTCCAGTTCCAGTGCTTTGCCACCCTCAAAAGAAATTCTTCTTCATGTTGAGGGAACCTCAGCCATTCCTCATACAGCTTCCCATCAAGGCCCTTCACCATGCTCGTTGCCTTCATTTGGTTGCTCTTTATTAGCTTAATGCCTTTCTTACACTGTGACACCCAAAACTGCACACAGCACTCGAGGTGAGGCTTCCCCAGTGCAGAGCAGAGGGGACAATCCCCTCCCTTCTCGTGCTGGGGATTCTGTGCTGGATGCACACTAGGACAGGGTTGATCCTCTTGGCTGCCAGGGCACACTGGACAATTCCCACGTATAAAGTCTCAGCTTGTTTGTTCGTCCCTGGATAGACCTTGATACATTCCAGTTCCTCTCTCACGTGAATAGAAACTCCACCACCTTGCTCCTCTGACATTTCTCTGTCCTTTCTAAGAAGGACATACCCATCCATAACGATATTCCAGTCCCACAATATTCTATCCCACCATGTCTCAGCATTGCAGTGAGATCATGGCCCTGTGAATGCACATATATTTCTAGTTTTCATTTATTCCCCATGCCGCATCTGTTTTTATACTTCCGGGATAATCTAAGAATGGGTTTCCTAGAAGGGATGTGAGAGAATTTACTATAGCTGTAAGCACCATGCCTTAGGTTGTAATACAGGATGTGATCGGAGGTGTGTATTCTATCACCATCTGTTGAGGCCGGGTGGGGCAGTGATTTTTATCTCTGTGGTAGATATCCTCTGTTAATGGGCCATCTGTTTAAATCAGGTGGGGCAGTCATCTTTATCTTTTCCATAACCCTTCCTTCCTCCAGAAAGATATCTCTCTTAATGGGCCATTGAGTCCCACTAAATGACTGATAAAATTACATCATCCCATTGTGAGAAGCTCCAGCCTGAGGGAGGAGCCAAGCCTTTCCTATCTAGATCAAAACTGAGATTTGGAACACCAAGGCAGCTTTTTTCCACTGGATTCCAGAGCAAAAAACCAGACCTTTCCACATCATCACTGGACCTTTGGAGGAAAACTGCACCCTTCTACAGAACCACTGCTTCAACAGAACCACATCTGTCATCCAGGAGGACTGCAGCCACCATTTAATGGGACTGCTACCAACACCCTGACTGACAGGGCATCAGGTTGTATTCTGACTCTGTCACTGTTTTCTTGAGTTTGTTCTCTGTAATACTGTATTTCTATTTCAGTTTTCCTAACAAAGAACTGTTATTCCTATTCCCATAACTTTGCCTGAGAGCCCCCTTAATTTCAAAATTATAATTTGGGGGAGCAGGTTTACATTCTCCATTTTAAAAAGAGGCTCCTGCCTTTCTTTGCAGACAACTGTCCTTTAAACCAAGACTCACCCACGATGTGTTTTGTGCTTTGATCCTCAACTCCAGGGGCAGCCAATGAACATCTCTCTCTGCACTGGTTGCTCTGTCCTCCTCCCCAGGAGGAAGCAATAGCACAGCTGTTGCCTTTTGAACTCCACTCCTTGAGTCCTTCAGTTTAAAGCCCATTACACCAAACTGGCCAGTGTGCTATCAAAGATTCTCTTCCCTTTTTAGCCAGGAGGATTCCATTCCCCTGTAACAGGCTAAAAATCATAAAAACCCAACCCACTGTTATAAAAGCCAAAACCTTCTTGATAGCACCAGGCACAACCCCCGACACTGATCTGCACATTGTGTCTGCCACTGGCTGTCCTGATTTCTCTAGCAGGGAGGACAGATGAGGAGATGGCTTGGGCATGGGGAAGACTTGGGATGCTTTTCACCTGCCTCACCAGGGCTTTATAGCCTTCCTTGATCCTACCTATATTTTGGCTTGTGGAATCATTTGTACCCATATGAAAAAGTGATGGGGGTAGTCATCTGTGACAGGTCAGGGTATTCCCTCGGCAACACCATGGATCCCAGTTCCTGAAGGGCAGGATGCCCCTTGTGACTGCCTATGAGGCTGGCAAATGGACAACTCAGTGCCATTACAATCACTTGATAATTCATTTTACAGTAATCATGATACACTGCTAGTGAGGTTCTATTTGTTGACTTTGCTCATGGACATCTAAAGCCTTTAAAGCACCAGATCTGCATTTTTGGTCTGCAAGTTGAAGGATGGAGATTGAATTGGAGCCCTGCTTTTGTGGGTCACCAGGGTGCTAAGTGCCTCGGGCTCAGTAGTATCCATTGCAGGTATGTAGCTCTGAACTCACTTAGCTATCTCTGCTTCAGCCCCTCTAATACTGCACAACCAACTGACTGTCTCTTGTCATTCAGCCCCCTGTTGCAGCTGGTCATCCACCTGTGCACACTTCGTGCAGGTACCAGCCTTTTCTTCAGGACAAGTATCTGGGCATCTGTCGAAACTTACCATCTGTACTGACACTTCCTTCCTCACCAATTTTGTCTTTGTGGAAGCATTAGGCTTGAGAGGGCTGTCTCAGTAGACACACTGGTTTTGGCTCTGGAATGCTCACCATGGCGGAGACCCAAAGCACTTAGCACTTATCTGAGATGTGGATCTATTTGTATATTTATTATTATTGTTGTTGTTGTTATTGTGTTTTCCTGACAGCAGTTAACAGGATATGTGAAGTCCTATTCTTTGGGCACTGTAACAGTGCTCATTTTAACCCCAAAGAAAACAATAAACCTGGCATTTGTTTGTGTGTGGTTTTTGGAAAGGGTGGCTTAAATCAAACCTCACTTTTCTTAGCATGCT